TCACCAAATCTTCCCAATTTTTGCTGAAGTTAAAGGAGAAAAAACAGGAAGATTTTTTAATTACGATTTTCTTTTATGTTTTGGAACAGCCAAGGGATGTCTCGGGCTCAGTGAATCACTGGACAGTCACATGTAACGTACACTCTCTATTTCTAGCGTGATAGAGACTGTGTGCCCTTTACGTTCACATTGAACACTAGGGCCAACCCGCAAGGTCCCCAACGTCCCCATGTCCACACAGAAGGGGCCCCTTTGCACCGTCACGTAGGTCCATGAGCACCTCACACCATCACAGCTGCTATTACTGTTCATACACCCATCCCTGCTCTGAAGCTAGGATCTTTCCAGATGCCCAAGGGGGAGATTTTTCCTAACTAGTACGAGCTCTAAGCCTGTCACAGTGTCTCAATGTGATGTATATGCAGCTGACTCAGACAAGAACAAGCCATCAGTTTTCCAAAGAAATCTTTCCCAAATCATCTTTCTTTTTTTAAACAAAAGTATTAAAAAACACAACGGCATGCAGGCTCTCCATATAATGAATTACTACATTTTATTCCCAGTGTCTAATCATAAATATCTAGCTTATAAAATTCAATGAGAGATTGTTTCACATCTAGAGAATCTGCCCCTAAATCAGCTGTTTAAGTGAACCATATTTCCATACGATGTGACTATTAGAGAAATGACACATTTAAACAACAGAACACAAATGTAGAATTCTGTCCTTTTGAATATGAGACAAGGCCACATTTGAATAGCACTGGGTCTGTGTTGTCACAGTGCCTCCATCTCGTCTGCGGGTGCCTTTGAAATCAGTCTCCCCAGTGTGACACAAAACAGCCTGCGCACCTGGCCACGCTGACTTCCGGGATCAGCCTGATTCTTCCCAGTTGTCATCCTCATCCTCTCACTCCATGGAACACTGTTGCTCTGCCCAGGTCTCAGTGACATCGGTCTCTCTGTGACCTCTCCTCTGATCATCCTTCCCTACCCTTCTTTGTGGGGCCAAATTCTGCTCAGCCTTCAAGTCCTCATCTAGCGGGTCCTTCTTTAGCCAAGATGCCCAGTGGCCAGCACAGGCAGCCCTGGAGAAGCCACTGCTCCAGCCCCCAGGTGACTGAGACACTCTCCATGGCAGAATGCTGCTGAGTAAACAGCTCCAGCGTGCTCCGCAGAAAGGCTTTCTCTAGCTGGTGGCTCCTGTGTGCTCGGACCATTCAGTTCAGGAACGCATCCTAGAAAAGGTGCTACATAGCTCAGTGCTGAACGTCACTCTGGTCACCTCCGAGGGCCTCCCCTGGGGAAGCTGTGCACTGATGCCAGCACCCAGTCCACCTTCCAGAGGGATTGTGGACTCTGTTTCTGGCATGGGCATCAGAGCTGTTGTCACATGAGGTCTAACAATTAAGTTTGCAAACTCACACTAGAAAAAGTGCTCGCACACCAGGCGGCATTCCAGCCATTTTCCCTGCATTACTGTTCAAAGCTTCCCACACACCCATCCTCACCACCCGGCATCCCCATGGTATAGACGAGGAGCCTGCTTAACACACTGGTCAGACAACTCTAAATTCCAGCATCTCAGAAGGGATAGAAGTAAAATGTGACCTGGAAAGGCCAGAGCTTGTCACCCTCACTGATACTGAATTGTCCTCTCTAAACTCAGCAAGCTTTTCCTATTTCTATATTAAAGATAAGTGGAACAGAAAAGCCAAATTAGATAATTTGTTCCAACAAGCAAGACCATCCAACTGAGGAGCCTCAAAGACACCATTAGATCGCAGAGTCTCTACTCTTCCTGAAAGACACCATTAGATC